GTGTGTGTGTGGGGTGGGGTGTGTGTGAGAGGATTCACCAAAGACAGAGTAGGGAACAGAACAGGCAGACTAACTGAAATAACTGCTGAGGGGAGCAGCGGCCGAGGCAAGAGAGGTCTGCTGTGCCATGTGGGATGCTCTGGCTGGCCGGGGATCGAACTCATGATGCGGAGGTTGCTGATAGCTTCACAGTGCTGTGCTTATCCCCTTACGCCCCCAGGGAGGCCTGATATTGTAGCTTTTGCCGATTACCGTATTTTTGGGTGACTTGCTATCTTTTCTCTATTCCTGGGTGCTATTTAGAGACCATACAGAATGGTGGTCGTCTTGATGGAGGCTAAAAGTAGGAAATTTAGGATAGAGGTGTTAAGACCAGAAACTGGAGATGGGGGTAAAATAATTAACATATTGAGCCAGTATAGAAATGAGAAGTCCTAAGGCCGACTGCCTGAGTATCAGACTGCTACAAACAGTATCTGGATGTGCAGACCAAGGTGGGGATATGGAGATGATTCCATTGTAGGGAATCACTGGTCCTTACAAGTCAACCTAGTCACATCCTAGAAGTAATTAATTTAACAGTAGATTCCAGTTCCACATAGGAATGAACCCTTCCCCAAAAGAACACTGTATCAGTACAATTTTTGCTCTGGTGACATGCAGCTCTTGTCCCAAGACTGCCCAACTGTGTCTATGCAGGTATCTCATTTAACAAACCTGTCCCTTGCAGGGGCAGTTCTCCTGCCCACCTGTGACTATGTAGGTGTTTCTTTCCACAACCCTTTTCCCTTTGCAAAGCAGCAGTAGCAGCTCTTTCTGTCTGATTGTGTCTGTGCAAGTGTCCTTTTTTCGTTTCCTTTTTTAATATAATAAACCTGCCTTTTTGGATATAACTAAACATCCCTGCCTCGTGGGGAAACTTGCTGTGTGCCAATGAAAGGGGAACTCAGGTGAAATTGTTCTCAGAGGTAACCCAAGGACCCCATTCACTGAACCCAGCACCTTCAAACTGACATTAGGAGGAATAATATCAGCTTTTGGTAGTCATCAAAGGGTGATGTGAGATCTCCTATTCTGTCTTCAATAGATAATTTCTTTTTTTTTTTTTTTTTTAATAGAGGCATGTTTATTTATTTATTTGTTTGTTTGTTTGTTTGTTTTGTTTATACATGCACTGGGTACAGTCAGAAGCGCGGGAGGGCGAGAGAATTCACCAGAGCCAGAGCAGGGAGCAGAGCAGGCAGAAGGACCGAAGTACACTGCTGAGGGGAGCAGCGGGCGGCAGGAGAGGTCTGCGCGCCATGTGGGACCCTCCTCCTGTGGCCGGGGAGCAGCCGGGGATCGAACCGCCGCCGCAGCGGTCGCCGGCAGCCTCGCAACCCAGCGCTCAACCGCTGCGCCACCGGGGAGGCCCTTCAATAGATAATTTCTGCCTACTCTGCAGATAACTTCAGTCAGGTCATATGGAAATATTTGGGAAGGGAAACTAACAAGTTGCTGTGCCTAGTTTGTTGGAAACCACCTTTCATAAATGTTTTATTATGCGGTAGGTATTCCTTCTGTATTTGCAGATTAATAGGTCTGAGACTCAGAGGTTAAATAATATACTGAAGTAAATGAAGCAGTATTTGATGTAGTCTTGCCAAAATTAATTTTAAATGAAAACTTAAAAGCTTATAAAAGCTTATATTTTAGACTTCATCATAATGTCGTCATCTTACTAGTTTCTTGCCTTCTCCACTTTTGTCTTTTTATCACTCACTCCACCCTGCCTTTTATACCCTTAGTCGCACTGACCTTTCTATTCCTCAAACAAATCCAAACCTGTTCTCACTTTAGTGCTATTGGCTTAGTTGTTCCTTCTGTTTGGGCAACTATTCTGCTTATTCTGCAAGACCAGCTCCTTCCTGTAATTTCAACTCAGCCTAAATTCACCTCAGAGAAACTTTGCCTATTCACTATTCTAAAGTGTTCATCCAACATTTTCTTATTATATTACTCTATTTTAATTCTCAGTATAGAATTGGATGTTGATTACCTTTTTATTGTTTTTTTTTTAATTGTCTGATTCATCGTAGTTTTAGGGATGTTGTCTTTTCCCTTCTTTGTCTCAGTGTCTGACATATCTGTTGAATAAATGGATATGTTGAGAAAAGTAAAAACTATCAGGTACAACGTTCTTTAACTTACTCCCTCCATATCTGTGAATTTTTCTCTTTCTGAACCTGTCTCTACTCCCTTTCTTTCTGTTTTACAGGAAGAGGTATCCCTTCTCTGTGGCATGCTGTGCTCATTTTTCCCATTGTCTTGCTAGAAATTCAGCTTCATTTAGCTTTTTTCTCTTCTGTTCTTTCTCCATATAAAACTTGTTCAATTATCTGAAAATAAAAACCTTCAATCATATACTTCTTGTATTTTTTGCTGTATCTTCATTTCTTAGTCTGTGTCAATCTCCCCTATCTCCCTCCATGGATTAACCTAGAACCCATCTTTTTAGTATTTTAACTTAAATATATATTCCTTAAAAATATATTTTGAATTGTAGACAACTGTCTTAGAAATCAGGTATTGGAATATCACTTATAATTTGGGGACTGTGTTTGTTTTATTAATACGAGTTTCTTTATTGTATTGCAGTTAGGATTCAGTTATCTTCTGAGGTAGATGGAGTCTTATTTTCTTGGCTTGTTCTTATTTGGCTTGAAACCCTTAATAGGATGTACAGCTTCCTAAAACACTTAAAATATTCATACATCAAATGCTTTTGTTGACTCAACTTGTCTTTACTTGCTAGGCTTATACAGGCCTATTTTTCAGAAGTTCAGGAAATGATGCATATAGAATAAAATAACTAGATTTAAAATTTAATATTGTCTTTCTCCTTGTTTGAAGAGTCAGTAAATGGGATTAATGGTCTGAATGATTATAATTTTGGGGGGAGGTTTCTGTCCTAAGGAAATAATCTGATCTATAGAAGAATAAAATGCCCAGAGTTGTTCATTACAGTAATATTTGTATAATAGTAAAGATTTGAAAACAATATAAATGTTAAAATTAAGTGGGAAGATAGTCAGATATATTATGGTATACCCATAGAATGGAATCATTTAGACCTCTCAAAAGAATTTTAGTGAGCTTTTGATGACACAAGAAAATAGATATTTTAAAATGTGAAATAGAGTGAGATGTCAGATTATCAGATTAGGTTGTTTTGAATCAATATACTGCTGACAACTAGCTAGCTAAAAGACATTGAAGAGCTATAAAGATAGCAAGGAATTAGGAGGCCAACTTGTGGAAGATCAGGTTTTGAGAAGTGAGTGCTGATGTTTGAGACTTCCTTGATCATTGCTGATTCTAGAAGTGACAGCTGAGAGGCTGAATAGTTTTTAAAATACTCTAGGAGTCAAGAGAACAGGGAGAGCAAAAATTAAGAATCAGGACCTGCCAAGGTAGAGGATTCATAGAGTATTTAATGCTTTAATCTTAAAATACAGTGCTGAACTATTTTCAGGTTTCAAGCACTGACTTGGTTATAATGGTTCAGATTTCACCTGTAGTATTTGTTCCTTCTTGTTCCATTACAGAGATTGGCATTACTAATTTGGCGTTACTAATCACCAAATTAGTGATCTTATAATTTTCATTTTCCTGAATGATTAATGAAGTTGAGCACCATTTCATGTTCATTGATTATTTGGGTATCTTCTTTTGTGATATTCCTATTCAAGTCTTATGTTCATTTTTATATAAGTTTGTGCTAATTGATTTGTAGGTATTCTATATCTTTAGAGGTGATATCTTCTGGGTATTTGTATGTCTTGCAAATATCTTCTCAGATTCTATATATGTCCGCTTATTCTTTTTTGGTGTCTTGATTAAACAGTAGCTTTTGCTTTTAAAGTAGCAGAATTTAATATTTTTCTTTATGGTTAGTGCTTTTTATGGTTCTAATTTAAGAAATTTTTCTCTATTGTGGAGATAATTTTTTTAATCTTCTAAAGCTTTGTAGATTTACCTTTCATATTATCAATAACCCATCTAGTTTTTTGTGTGTGCGTGTTTCATTATTTTGTGTAGTGTAAGGTGAGGGTTTAGTTGATTCTGCCCCCTTTCTCCTCCATATGATACTCAACAGTTAACAGTTTTTAGAAAAATCTACTCCTTTGTGGTATGTGCTTATGTGTGGATCTACTTCTAGACTTTTCTCTTATACTAGTTTGTCTCTCCCAGACGCAGAAAAATCCATGTAAATGGAAAGTACAAACTAAGTTGGTAGGAATAAATAAGTTTTCACTCTAACATATAAAATAGACTGAACTAACCAGCTAAAAAACAGAGATTGTTAACATTCGATTTTAAAAATCTAGGTATATGATCTTTAAAAGAGACCCATTTAAAACATAACAAATTGAAAGTAAAAGATGAGAAAAAGGATTGCCAGGCAAATTCTGAAAATCCTGCATTGATATCTGAAGAAAAGGTGTTTGAGTTCTACTCCATGTTTTGCTGAATCCGAGGGCGTTCTGCTCTTATCCCCTAGTGGTTGTTAAAACTCCAACCCCTATACCAAAATTTACCTCCTAGAGCAGCCATGTTCTTTATTTCTGTCCCTGAGCATTCATTCTCTTTATTCTATTGTGGGGTGAGCCATGCATTTAAAAGGAACTTGCCGTGTTTCATTTAGCCTTTTTAAGGCATTTGTGTGATGTCCACTCTACACCAGTTATTTAGTATACTATGTGTTGTTTGAACCATTCTGGTTATAAGAACCCACCCACCTAGGGGAACCACTAAAAAAGTAGAATGATTGCTTGTGGACATGGGAGTTATGGATCATTTCTTATATTCTATGCATTTTTAATATCATTAAAATTTTTCATTTAATAATATTAAATATCTGCAAAAGAGCACATATTTTATATATATTTTTAAATTAAAAAAAGAAAATTGTCCTTAAGATCCTCCAAGTAATAGTCCTTCTTTTCCATTTGTTGCAGGTGGTGCGGTTGTGTCAGAACCCAAAGCTGGCGCTAAAGAATAGCCCACCTTATATCTTAGACCTGCTGCCAGATACCTACCAGCATCTCCGTACTATCTTGTCAAGATATGAGGGGAAGATGGAGACACTTGGAGAAAATGAGTATTTTAGGGTGTTCATGGAGAATTTGATGAAGAAAACTAAGCAGACCATAAGCCTCTTCAAGGAAGGGAAAGAAAGAATGTATGAGGAGAATTCTCAGCCTAGGTAATGGAGAATACTACACAAATATTTATTCAGGCCTGAATGGGTAACACATTGAAGTAGTTGAGTTGGTTTTAATTTTATGTCAACAAGAATATAAAGTTGACGTTTGAATTAAAGGTGTGTTTTATGTAAAAGGTTGCCTTGGAGGATTTTGAACCATCCTAAATTTGATAGTTTATCTCTGAAAAATCAGTGACTTATAATGATGAGGTTGAATTGGAGGCAATAAATAGGTACTTTAAAGACCTGAAGATCTTGAAAGTTCGTGATTAGGTGAGTTGGAAAGAAAGAGGTTGGGGTTAAGCTGATCTTGGCAATAAATAAGAGGTCAGATTTTGTCAGGTGAGTTGTAAGTATGTGATGATAGTGCAAAGCTTAAGCCAATAGTTTAGATAACTTTTTATAAAACAAAGTGAAATGACATTTCTTTATAGGTAAAGCGACTTTTCAGATAGACTAGGTATTTGCAAATATAGTTAATTCAGTAAGTATTTCAGGGGCCACTATATTTTCTTTCGTACTTTTTAAATATTGAAAACTCCTTTCTCTATCCTGTATGTTGTTAGCTTGGTTATTGTAATTATATCCTGGGAGAGAAGTAGGTTGATTTTATGTGTGTGCAGTTGTATTTGAGTTTGTCTAGTTGGAAATAAATATTAACTCACTTAGAACAAAAAATAAAATGCAAATTCCACTGGAATTTTTTTTTAAGATTTATTTATTTATGCATGCAAGAGCTGGGGTGCAGGTCAGAGGTGTAGGGATTGAGAGAATTCAACAGAGACAGAGTGGGGAGCAGAACAGGCAGACTGAAATATACTGCTGATGGGAGCAGCAGGTGAGGGCGAGTCAGGAGAGGTCTGCTGCGCCATATGGGTCGCTCCTGGGCAGGCCGGGGGATTGAACTCGTGCTGCAGTGGCTGTGGATAGCTTCAGAGGTTGGTCTTAACCCCTTGTGCCACCAGGGAGGCCCTGGAATTTTTTTTTTTTTTAAGATTTATTTGTTTATGCGTACAAGAGCTGGGGTGCAGGCCAGAGGTGTGTGTGTGTGTTGGGGGTGGTGGTGAGAGAATTCATCAGAGAGAGTGGGAAGCAGAACAGGCTGATTGAAATGCACTGCTGAGGAGAGAAGTGGGCAAGATAGGAGAGGTCTGCTGCACCATGTTGGTCAGCTCCCTGACCAGGGATTGAACTCATTCTTCAGTGGCTGCAGTTAGCTTCATAGTGCTGAGGCTTAACCTCTTGTGCCACCAGGGAGGCACCTCCACTGGAACTTTTTAGTGCATAAATTATTCTCAAGGAATGGCTTAAATTAGGAGGGACAGTAATTTTTCAGTCTGTTATGTTAGCCTGTATGACTCTAGCAGTAACTTACTAAATGGTATCCTAGTAATCTCTACTCTTTTGACTCTATTGGTTTAGATTCTGGGGAACCTCATATCTGAAAATTTTATCCACATCATTTTTCATATTTACTGCGACGTATATTGCTCAGGTTTGGTTCAGAGTTTCAATTATTTTTCTTGAAAAGATTACTGGTGAAACCTTTGTAACTATTGATAGATGTAACATTTGTAACTTTTATTTCATATGAAAGTGAATTTTACTCTTAAATAGCTAAGGTTTTTTTTTTTTTTTTTTTTGGTTGTTTGTTTGTTGCGGGCAGCCTCGTAGCCCAGCGCTCAACCGCTGTACCACCAGGGGAGGCCCTCTAGCTAAGTTTTAAAAAATTATTAGGTACCAAAACAGTAAAATTACTTACAACCTTATAATGAATTAGATTCTGGATAATTCTAGGAAGTAAAAAGATTAAATCTTTCAGTTATGATGTAATGGGATAAACATTTTAATAGAGATATCCACAAAGTGTTGTGTGAACACAGTTTTGCTTAGTGGCATCAGGAAGGTGGCACAGAGGAAGTGTTATTTGAGCTAGATTTTGCAAGGGTAAGTAGGAAATTTCTAGACAGAAGTGAAGAAAAGGCCTTTAACATAGTGGCATGAAAATGCATGCTCTATATATTTAAGGAACATGAACAGTCTGGTTTGGTTAGAATTGGGAGATATAGATAAGCTGGAAATACAGGTTGGAGTCAGACTGTAAAGAGCTGTTTTTTGACCTCTAGACTTTCTCCCATAGATAATAGGCTGCCATAGATAAGTTGTTTTAGGTCATTTTTATAGTGAAATAAAAATTATAGATTTTCTGGTCTTCTTAGATCTTGCTGAGCATTAATTTTTTTGTGCAACTCTTAGTTCATCACCATAGGCTGTGTAGTGTACTGGTTGAGAGGATGCACTTTGAAGTCAGCTGCCTGAGTTTGAATATTAACGTTGCCACTTAGTTTCCCCATCTATAAAATGAGATAATAATACTTTCTCTGTAGGATTTTGGGGCATTATTAAATAAGTAAATTTTCAGTTACTTCCAACAGTGAATGACACATCAAAGGAGTTGACTGGGTTAGCTCTTTTTATCTTAAACCATCATTTTCATTACTGTAAACATAGATTATTATGTCAGACTATGTATCAGGTATATTGTCGGGACCATTTTGCCTTACAGATGGCTTTATACTATGCTTACAGGTTCTTTAGCGTTTGCTTTCTTTCTTTCTTTTTTTTTAAAGATCTATTTATGCATGCAAGAACTGGGGTACAGGCCAGAGGTATGGGGGGGTTGAGAGGATTCACCAGAGACAGAGCGGGGAGCAGAACAGGCAGATCTACTGAAATACACTGCTGAGGGGAGCAGCGGGTAAGTCAGGAGAGGTCTGCTGCGCCATGTGGGCTGCTCCCTGGGCAGGGATCGAACTCATGCTGCAGTGGCTGCAGACAGCTTCATAGGTTGTGTCCTAAACCCTTGCACCACCAGTGAGGCCCTGCCTTTACTTTCTTATTTCTTTTTTTCTGTTTTTCTTCTTTTGTCTTTTTTTAAACCTTACTGTCAGAATGTCTGTATCAATTTTATTCCCCCTAACATGAAACTTTTAATCCACTCTGGACTTTGAATCCATATAACAACTTTGTACAAATTACATGTAAAATGAGAGTAAATAGGGCCTCCCCGGTGGCACAGCGGTTGAGCGCTGGGTTGCGAAGCTGCCCGCAGCCTCTGCAGCGCTGGTTCAATCCCCGGCTGCTTCCCGGCCACCGGAGGAGGGTCCCACATGGTGCGCAGACCTCTCCTGCCGCCCGCTGCTCCCCTCAGCAGTGTACTTCGGTCCTTCTGCCTGCTCTGCTCCCCGCTCTGGCTCTGGTGAATTCTCTCACCCTCCCACGCTTCTGACTGTACCCAGTGCTTGTATAAATCAATCAATCAATCAATCAATCAATCTTAAAAAAATAAATAAAATGAGAGTAAATACACTTAAGGTGAGAACTGGCTTTCCTATATAATCTTTGTGATCTGTATTTTTGTTGTTTAGATACTTTTTGTCTTCTTCAGTATTTAAATAAAATAAAGATATAATTCACATGTCATAAAATTCATCCTTTTACAGTATGTAATTCAGCTGATTTTAGTGTGTTCACAGAGTCTGCTACCATCACTGCTATCTAACCCCGAAATGTTTCCATCACCCCAGAAAGAAACACTGTACTCATTCATGGTCACTCCCCACTCCTGCCCTCCAACCCTTGACCATCTTTAATATATACTTTCTTTCTCTGTTGATTTTCCTGTTATAGACATTTCAGATAAATGGAATCATAACATGTGGCCTTTTATGTCTGCCTTCTTTCATTTAGCTTGTTTCACAATTCATTCATGTTATGACATGGATCAATCCTTCATTTTTTTTTTAAAGATTTATTTATTTATACAAGAACTGGGGTACAGTCAGAGGCACGGGAGAGTGAGAGAATTCACCAGAGACAGAGCAGGGAGCAGAACAGCAGACAGACTGAAGATACTGCTGAGGGGAGCAGTGGGCGAGGCAGGAGAGGTCTGCTGTGCCATGTGGGTTCCTCCCTGGCCGGCCGGGAATCGAACCTGTGCTGCAGAGGCTACAGACAGCTTCACAGTGCGGCGTTCAACCTGCTGCGCCACCGGGGAGGCCCAATATATCATTTCTTTTTATGGCTAAATGATAACTAAGTTGTACGCATGTACTACATTTTGATCTTGGACATTTGAGTTTTTGCTGCTTTGACTTATGAATAATGCTGCTGTGAACATTTGGGTACAAGTTTTTGTGTGGCTAGATGTTTTCAGTTCTTTCTGGTTATATACCTAGGAGTAGAATTGTTGAGTCATACGGTAATTCTATGTTAAGTTTTTGATGAACCACCAAACTATTTTATGTAGCAGCTGCACCATTTTACATTCCTCCAGCAACGGATGAAGGTTCCAGTTGCTCAACAACTCCTGGTTTTTGATTATCGCCATCCTTCTGGGTATAAATTAGATATCTCATTGTGGTTGAGATTTTCATTTACCCTAATGAGTAATAATGTGAGCATCTTTTCACGTGTTTATTGGCTGGTTGTGTATCTTATTTGAGAATGTGTATTCAAATCCTGTTCCCATTTTTGAACTGGGTTATCTTTTGTTGAGTTGTAAGAATTCTTTACATATTCTAGATACCACCAGATGCTTATCATATACTGGTTTACAAAGCTTTACTTCCATTCTGTGGGTCTTCTTTTTACTTTCTTGAGAATATAATTTGAAACACCAAAGGTTTTTCACTTGATGAAGTCCAGTATTTTTCCCTTTGGTTAACTTGTGCTTTTGTTGGTCTGTTTGTTTTGTTACTTATGCTTTTGATGTCACAGCTCAGAAACCATTGCCTAATCCAAGGTCCTGAAGACTATGCCTATGATCATTTTGAGTTAATTTCTGTATGTGCTGTGAAGTAAGGGTCCCATATCATTCTTTTGCATGTGGATATCCTTTTGTGCCAGCACCATTTGTTGAAAAGACCATTCTTTACCCCTGTTTGTCTTGTTGCTCCTGTCAAGAGTCAGTTGACCAAATGTGTGAGGGTTCATTGTCT